TCAATGACTAGCTTTCAATATGGAGCAAAAAGAGGAGAGAGCGCTGACGAAAGTTTTGTCATCCTTGAGGTGATCCACTGGTTTACTTTGGCTTGAGACAGGAATGTACAGTCTTGTTCAATGGAAGCTGGGACACGTCGGAAGCGCTGTTACGCGCATCGCAACCCATTTTCCACCAACTATGGAACTGACAGGCGACCAATCGGTGGAAAACTTACTGGCGCGGCGCCTAACCAAGCCCCTGAAACACCCTAACGTCCGCAGCGAATAAGACTGTAGACGTGAATGACTCGCACTAGAGGAAGTCGGATCAACGGGACGACGTGTAGGTTCAAGACTGGTAAACAAGCGAAAGTAGCTATGAGAGCAATAATTCTGAAAACCTACTTTTCTACAGGCTCCTCCGGTCCCTCCTCATTCGCCACACGGGAGTACTCGGGCTCACCAGTCTCCTTTTCCTTATCCAAGCTCGCTTGTCGCACTTTTCTTGCCGCTTTTCTCGATGGCTCTATGAGATCCTGTAAAGTTGGAGATTGTTAAAACTGTCCGAGATGGTAGGTCTGTACAGGCCAATGAATAGCTGTTAAGGTTACCGTCAAAATTTCGAATTCATAGTGTTGAAACGTTGATAAATTCGCTGAGAGAGCTGAGTAAGCGCGACACGTTTTCTCATAGAAGGCACACAGCATATCCAGATATTTTCCGAGCAGATGAGAGAGCAAATTCGAACGAGACGCAGACAAAAGATCGACCTAAAACTTCAGTGATTTACCTAAGATGAAATGTGATTTATTGAAAGCAACAGCTGACAGAGGAGAGCCAGTAAAAGAGCTCTCCCCCCAAACGCTCATAAGCTACCCATGAGGCTTTATTGTAGCTGTCCACTTCAATCGGGTGGTTACAACTTTCAAGCTTTTTTGGTGGAACAGATTCAGCGGTCTAACTCGCTATTTTGTTGAGAAATTTATAGAAGATTTTTAACAAAATGTACCTGAAAGGATATCCCTAAAAGAAAAAAAGCAAGTGGCACCGTGCCCTTATTGAAGAGAATCAAGCTTATGTCTAAGTCAATTAAATGTTCTTATCGACTAACACTGCTTTCAAGCGCCATCCAAGGGACAGAAAAAGCTTTTTGGAGGATTGCGAAAGGGCAAACATTAACGTAATTGGTTAGCCTGGGTAGCACAAGAGGAATCTGGTGCAGTTTGGACGAGGGGGGGGGGGG